AAGAAAAAAAGGGGTTCACACCCCCCCCCTTCCAAGCGGCCACCGGGGAAATACCCGGAAGGTTCGCGGGGGGGGGGGGGGGGCAAGAGGCTGGACTGACGGTGCCAAACATAAGTCAGGCTTGCAATCGTTGACCTGCGCGGAATTGATGCATGCGCGTGAGCGGTTTTGTCGAAGTATGTTGAAGTATTGTAGTAGTTTGTTGCAGGAAACGAAAAGACATGATTGGACATGATGAGAGAAAAAATATGTACTTCTGTGTAGTAGAGAGTTGTGTACCACAGGGGGCATGCTTCTGTTGTAGAGAGCGCTGTAGAGAGCAATATCCGTATGCAACACTCGATTGCTGCGCGCGCCCTCGGGTGGTAGCTGCACGTGCCGCCGCTTTTGTTCTCTTCTGCTTCCAGCGGGTCGTTGCCAACAGCCACCTCATTCTGTACCAGGATTGCTGTTTGTTCTCTCTGACATTGCCTGGTAGAGTGCTGTCTGTGGAGACAAGAGCCAGCTTTTGGTAGTCTCAATACCTATCGTTGTGTCCACCGCCGCTACTGCTGCACCTGACTGCACCGGCCGGTTTGTAAATCGAGTAGGTGCACTCCTTGCTATTTTGAGTCTATCTGTATGTATATATATCTTCGTTCAGCATGCATACGAGTCCGCGTGTAGAGTGCGCATACATACATACACAGTATGTATACCACAAAGAAAGCTCAACCTTTCAAGCATCTCCGACATGTACGTTCGTTCGTGTATGCAGAGACCATGCGGGATGCATCATTCATACGAAACATGTTTTTTATAGCCCGCCGGCCTCTCTTTCCCCCCGCCCTGCCGCAAGCGAAGGACCAGCGAATAGTGCAACCCCGCGCGCGTGCGCACGGGAAGGTGCAAAAAAACAGATCTCGAAAAAATAAAATAATTGCAGTTGCCTCCAGACAGCTACCCGACGAGAAAACTGCGAAATAGGCAGCTAGAGTGATGAGTATTTGACTCTCGACAACTGCGCCACCCCTGTCCGGAGCTTGAGCTCGTCGGACACATGTGCAAGAACTCTTATACAATTTAAGTTTTCTCTGAGAACGCTTCATTTCCCTTCTTTCGGCTTCTGTGAGCGCTCTATTCCGGTCTTCTTCTCGGGCTCTCACAGAGCAGCATTTTTCCTCTGGAAATTTGGCACTTTGGTGGACTTTCCACTTTTTTTTTATCTCCCGCTTTTATCTCTCTCTCTCGCCTGCTGCTGTCACCCTGCTCTGTACCATCATACCACGCATTCCACTCGAAGTACGGCCCTCTCTGAGTGTGCCTCCTTCTCCTCCGTTCCTCCGTCTCTCTGTGTCTCTGACGGTCTGTCTATCCACATTCTCTTTTCATTTTCGCCTTCTCTCTTGACCGCTCTCGCGTCGGAATGGTCTGTTGTTTGTTCCGATTCCGTGTGCTACTGCTGTACATTTTTATTTTATTTTACATGTAACACCTTTACACGGTATGCACTCACCTCCTATCGCCTTGGTACCGTATTCTCTCTCTCTCGTTCCTCTCGGTGTGTGTGTGTGTCTTACTCTCTCTCTCTCCTCTCGGTGTGTGTGTGTCTGTGTATCCACGTTGTCTTTAAATTTTTGCTTTTCTCTCTTCACCGCTCTCGCGTCGGAATGGTCTGTTGTTTGTTCCGATTCCGGCAACGAACGGTGTTGTGGGCTCCTGTTCCGATAATCCCTTCTAAAGGGAGGTCCGGAAAATACGAAAATACCCTCCTTTCTTCCTAACCCTACCCCGGCCCACTCCTCCCACTCCTCTGTAGCTACTCCGGCTACTTCGCACTCCTGTAGTCTTCGAGTCCATGTCTCGCCGCCATCTCTTTGACGACTCCCCCACCCGAGCATCCCCTGCCGCGAAGACGACAATTTTGTCATGTTTTTGCAGTTCTGAGTTCTGGATGTGTAGCAGATAAATGGAGGGGTACTGGGCACGGCGATGGGAAACAAATAACGGACCTTTACATCATCTGCTTAAATCACACACGAACCTCCATCATGGGAACTCCACCTTCTTCACGGACACTTAAACTGTCATCGGTGCCTACCTTCATTTTAACAACATCCTAAACCCACTTTCAGAGAAAACAACATCCTAAACCCACTTTCAGAGAAAACATTGCCTTGGAATCGCTTCAAATATAGCGGGGGCGCGCAGCGCCCAAAACCTTGTAGTCTATTACGTGTAAGTTTCGAGTCAATGTAGATTCCAAAGTGTCGTTCCCAGTCCCGGAACCAGTCCTCCTGGAACCAGTCGTGAATGCCAGACTATCGGATTCCCCCGTTTCAAGAAACACTTGGGAAACCACTGTGGGGCATTAATTACCTGATGATACGATGCGTTTTATGGGTCGGCGCGGGGCCACCATCGTGCGTGGAGCACAACGTCATGAAGGACGAAGTGATTTTCTACATGTAATTCGCATCTCGCATGGGAATGGGAGAGATCGCGGCGGGCTATGTGTAAAACACCCAAGCAACGCGCGAGTTTTGTTCCTGACAACCAATACATCACGCGTCGTCTCCCTCTACGCTTCTCTCCTCCATGGGTCCCCTGTCACTCCGCCCGATCAACGACTCCTTATCCTGTCGACTACCATTACGGACATTCCACCGACGCTGTGGCATTCCTGGGTGTAGCCGCGTCGCACGGATCAGAGGTTGGCACGGCGGTGCTACAAGGCTAAGGACGAGGGTGTTGTTGGTTGCTTTGGAATCAGGCTATCGCCTTGCTTGATGATCTCCTCTGGCTCGCCGTCCATGGGCCCCTTCATGCCATGTGATGTCCCCCCTACCGAAAAATTGTGACTGAACGCATGCACGCAGACGCATTGGAGTGATCGCACGCGGGTACGAAAAAAACAATTGAACGACGTTGTTTTAGGTTTTCTGCACAGCGTGTGTCGGAGTTATATCACGCAAGGGCTTGCTATCTGTCTCGTGTATCAATGTTTCTTTCGGAAGAGCCATACGGGCTCCTCCTCGACCTCCGTGTGGAGCGTACAGGGCACAACCCAGACAAACCACGCAACCCAAGAGTGAATGTGAATGTACGGTTCGCTTGCATCTCCCTCTTGTTCAATGGGATGCACCCATGAGACGCGAAGGACGGCTTGTGCGACGTTCAGCGCGGGCGGCTCATGAATAGTAAGACGCCTGGGGCTGCCAGTGTTTTCTCACCCTTAGGGTTAGGGTCGGTTGCTCAACGGTGTCCCACGGGTGTCCCATGGGAAGTCAACGCGACTCTTGCATTCATTCATGATTTCCTATCGTTCCTGATGTACCCACGGGTCACCTGACGCGGACGCTTTCCGTGATCACATGCTCCCAAACACGGTACCAGTGTAAACGAAAAATAGCAAACCCGGTAAACAACGTAGGTCATGCGGGCTTAGGGTGTTCTCCAGGTGATAGGAGTATCTGAACCAGCAGCTGTACGTTTCTGAAACAACACGATTGGCACGGATGGATCGCCTTGATTTCTCCATGTAGTCCTTGTCCGGCGACGGAAGTAGCGAAATAATGCATCGCGGGGCAGCCCCAGAGGCAGGGGAGCGACAACCCAACTGTTTGTCTGCCGGGGTGTGGTCTCGAAAGTTTTGGACTACACCGGCATGGTGGTTCGGGGAGGAAACCGTATTTTGAGGAACACGGTGATACGTGCACTCGCGGCACCGCTTGTGAGGGACCTGCTCTCGACTTTCTTTATCATCCATGCTTTATATAAAACAACAATAACCGAGGCTTCATTCCTTACAATCTCTCTCTCTGTCGCTTTAGAATCACGAAAGGAAACCACGGACGACCTAGCGAATCGATTGTCAAAGGTCGCGGTTTCCAGATTCAAGCTGTCTGTTTATCAGATTTGATACCTGTACAACAAAGAGTCGTGGGAAACAACCGTCGAGGAACCAACGTCGCCGCCAGATGATTTTATTGGGCATCCTTCAATATTTGGCAAACATACGGTACACGCTTCCTTCCATTGCAGTCGATTAGACTCGCATGGAAGTCGCTCACGGCTTCCATGGAAGTCCACGAAAGCTGGCCATGCTTCCATGGAAGCTCAATAATGTGCTTCCATGGAAGCCGTATGGAACTTGCGTGGCGGATTCGTGCGACAGCTTCCATGCGGTTTCCATCGATGTATCAAGTTGGATGTATATGAATTTCCATGGAAGTCGATCGGTTTCCGTAGAAGTAGCGGGTGGTTGCATTAATGGAAGTCTAGTCTTCAACTTCCACGGATGTGCGAAGAGCTTCCATGGAAGTAAGTCTTTCATGGAAGTCCGTCCATGGATCCCCTCCACCAAACTGGAAGGTACTTCCATCGAAGCACATCTACCTCCACGAAAGGAACTCCCGTGGACACGTTGTAACGACTGCACAGCTAACTTCCATGAAAGTTAAGCAACTTCGAAGGAAGAAATTTCCACGGAAGCGTTAGTCTCGATTCCTAGGCAACGTCTAGGGAAAATCGGCAACTTCCGTGAAAGCTAGTCCAAGCATTTCCATGGAAGTGTTTGAAGTTGACGTCACAGGCCAACGACCTAAACACCAACTCTCGTCCTGCCGAACAGAACACCAGCGACCAACCAAGCGCGAACCACGCCAGGCACACGTCCACCTAAACCAACTGGCAAAGCAGGCACCCCGAATTGGCCCCATACCAAACCCTAACCCAAACAACCCAGCGGACTGCTATGTCCGCACACGTGGCAAGCTCTAGGCTCATCAACTGGGAAATCACTTCTGCACTCGCTGCTGGTCTTCGCTGCCGCAGGATGGAGACAATATTTTTTTGTTTCCATGGAAGTCGCACATATTGACTTCCATGGAAGCTAGAGTCGGGTGGTATACTTCCATGGAAGTAGCGCGATGATGCTTCCATGTAAGCCCAATGTTATGCTTCCATGAAGGCTGTCCGAATATGGCCTGCTTCCATCGACTTCCGTGGAAACGCACCAAGCGACTTCCATGAAAAATGGCGCACTTCCACAACCTTCGATGGAAGTTGAAGTTTCCATGGAAGTTGCTCGGGAACCCCGCGCTATGAAACCTTCCGCGGAAGTCGCCCCACACTTCCATGGAAGTCATTTGCGAGCTCCCATGGAAGTTTGATTCAACCAACTTCCATGGAAGTCCATATTCCATGGAAGTAGGCTACTTCCATGGAAGTTACACACACTTGACAAACAATTTAAGAGATCGCTCGTATTTGTTGGCGCCATAGGGTAGCTCGATGATATCCACCGTTCACCGTTCGTTCACTTCCAAACAGCGAGCAAGGGCATGAATTGTGTTGTCCTCATTCACTTCCTCACGCCGTTTCACTCCTAGCCACCTTTCAGCCTGTTGTGGCGTGTTGACTGGATCGAATCGAACATTGTGCACCGGAGAGGTTTCTTTGCACCCCTGAGGTACCTTCAGTCTCCCCCCCTTGCTCAGACACTGAAAGCATCGTTTGGTTGGTCACCTGGCTGGTTTCAAAACCCTTCACTCATGTCACTCCGCGCTTTTCCTCCATATGTTTCCCTCACAAAGCAGGCAGAGTGACGGGTCCACAAAAGCGTCCACCATTCTCCGCCCCGCGATACTCTCGACATCCCGGGGAGCTGGTTCCGTTCTTCCTAGCACGTTGCTGGTACCGTGCACGTTCCACCAGAAGCAGAGAAGTGCGGAGGGTGGAGGACCTGGGAAGTTTCTACCGTATTGGTGAACGATTCGCGGTGAGCCCCCCGACGAGAGCGACCGAAAAACTGGCTGTTTGTCTTCTTTCCTCTCCCTGACACGGTAGCATGGGCTCCCCATCCCTGGGCTCAAGGAAATGGGACCTGCCGACGGGGACAATGAACACCACTCTCGTCATTGGCCTCGCCTACATCTTCCTTGCCTACGTTGTGCACCCGGCCACGCAGTATGCATACCTCAGGGTGCGCGCCTACCGCGCGTGGCGACGCATCGAGGAGGGAGAGAGGGTTGACGTTACCAACTATCCCACGTGGATGGAACTACTCGGGAATTGCGGTAGGAGGGACACCGCTCGCGTCGTGGCTCTGCTGCTCCTGCTGTTTGCGTTGGCTTCGTGGATTTTGGATCTGTCGATAGATGTGTTTCCCGTGCCGAACCCAGCATACAGTCAAACCCTGGCGCCTCAGGTTTTCAAGTGGCCTGCAAGCAACTCTACCGGGGCTTCTTGGCACGTGAGTGTTTTTCAGAATGTGATGTCGTGTCCTTGGTCATTTCACGTTGCGGCTTGGTCGACGTGCATGCCGATGGAAAAATACATCTAGTCTACGTGATAAGATTTGGGTGAGTCTCAATTCAATGCGATCCTGGGCCGATGGCCACAAGAAGAATCGAAAGACACTGAATGTTGGGCGGGACGACCGGCCGCCGCAGGAGCCCTAACCAAATCCATTTTTTTTTTTTTCCATCAAATGGTCCGCTCCGAGGAAGATAATACGTCGGAGGTGTGGTGTCCTTGATCCGATGTGCAGGAATCGTACGCAATACCGTCTCCATCGTACGAGGGGGAAATATATACTTGGATCCAGCGGAGAGGGGAGCAAACAGGTTTGGGGGGTGAAATTGACGAGGACATTCGGTTCCCAGTGGACTTCAGACGGTGTCGTTATTGAGCGCACCCGCTGTGACGTTCGACTCCCGATCTCGTTTTTTCGAGTGCCAAACAATCAACACCATAACGCAACCAACCGTGTGTGGTGGCCAGAGGTAGTGGTTGCGCACCGATCGCAACCTGCCAAGGGTGTGGTGGGGAGGTTGGGCCTACGGGATCGATCCTGCACACATTGTTTGTCTGTGCCCTAAGCCCACGGTGTCAGTTGGCATAACGCCACTCCCTCCGACATGTGGGAATACTGGGCCCCTTTTCGAGGTGCAACCTCCACCCCCCAGCTTGTAATCGGTGCCCAACCTACCCAAAACCTGACCTCTGGCCACTCGTGTGGCCATGATCGTACTCGATAGGGCAAGGCATCGGTGAAGCGTGTGACGCCCACAAGGTGCAGGTTGAGAAGCACCCATCAGCAGGTCGCCTCGTTCCCCAATTTTACGCGCACGCTCCCTATCGTTTTCTCTTGTGGATTTCTGTCATATTGCTTGCGTTGCAGGTATTGAGCCTAACCGAAATCGACCAAGAGTACGAAGGGGACTGGTTGAACCAACCGAATGTCTTCGAAACGGTGGCCAAGTCGAGGTACTACGTGAAAGAATACAAGAACTACGTGTGGAGCGAACCGAAGGACAGGTACATCAACGGCGATATCATCGTCGCCAACTGGTCGCGGAATACAAAGCCGGATAACCTGGTCTACGGGGAAAGGGCCACTGTGATGGTAGACGGCATCACGTGCTCGTCGGGAGGTGAGGCGGACATCTTCACCGATGATCCCATCCCAGTTACCCTCAAGAACGGAACCGACGCCATCGAAGTATGGGGCACCGTTCTGGAGTGTGACCAAGGGCCTGCGGGTATCGACGTCATTGGTAGCAGCAAACCCTCGATCATTCTCACCGAGCGCGAGACGGGAGACACACACGTGATCGTAGAGGAGACCAGCAGCGAACCCAGCTTCCTCTACTCCGTCTGGAACGCGACCGGGGCTTCTATCACCGCTGCTGCCGGAAACTCCTCCGTCGAGATCGCCTACGCCTTCCACATCTCGTCCACTGTACGGCTTGCCGAGGCGGTGGTCACTGCGATCGTAAACGGCGTGGCCGGCGAGGGCGGCGGCGCTTGTTTCGGCCTCCTCCGAGCGTACAACAGGGGCCCTTATGATACAGTGGATTTTTCTGACTCCTATGGCAAACAAAAGGCGATGCCGTTCGGTGAGGACCCCGTGTCTCACTACATCAATTCCTTGAAGGACAATGAGCACATCATCGTCGGGGTCGAGATGAACACCAATGGGATGGTGGCCTTCGCTTTGGTGATAGGCCTGAGCTTCACCGGCATTGTGCTGACCCTCTTCTTGTGTCCAAAATACGAGATGGACGTCTACAACAGGTATTGTCCCTAGCGAGGTGAAACATTGTCGGTAGCAGGATGGTTGCGATTTCGTAGGTGTGGCCCGCCGAAGCAAAAATACGCATGTCAGCGTGTCTTGCATCGGTCTTCGTGCGCATATCCTGGATATGAGACGTTTCGTACAAGGTGCGTTCAAGGAAAAAGCAGGATGCCACCGTTCATAACACCATTCCTTATCTTGCGTGTACCAGACACAGCAGATCAAAGAGCCGACATCCGCCGTTTTACCGCCCACACACCGCTCAGGGACGAGCTGCTCCGCGCGATCAACCTGCAGGCGCAGGGCTTACCCGATGATCCGTCAAGGCACTCCGCGATGCGCATAGAAGTCCAAAGGGAAGATCGAAGCAGACACTTGGCCGTTACTATTAGCGAGTCCAACAGCGAACGGAGCCGCTGCGCGCGCTTCCTCCTGAGGCGAGGGCCCGAGGTGACCGATGACCCCGTGCCGGCCACGGATAGCGCCCCCAACGGACGTGACGGGGTCCCCGTCCCGAGGAGGCCGGCCCATATGTACCTTGGTGGCGTTTTGACGTGGTTGGGCAAGCCCATTCCCCGCCCAAGGAACCACGCCATCAACCCAGAGCCTTTGGCCCCAGCCATGGTCCTAACCGCCTCGCCGGTGCCGTCCAACGCCGGGTCTAGGGTGGTATCACCGACACACCCAACCGCCGAAGGATCGTCTGCATCTGCGACCGCGACACCGACGTTTTTGTCCGAACCCGGGCGGGGCGCCTCACGTTTCCCCGACGCGTCGCTCCTGTTCCGCAGCTCGAGCTCGGATGTCGAGGGGATAACCGGCTACGCCGATTATAATGAGGAGGAGGGGGATGTCGACGCCGAGATGGGCATGTAACGGGCCCCCCGAGGTTCAGGGTCCCGTGCCTCTCGAGGCTGGCCCGTCAACGGACCGCCCGTTTGCGGCTCTCCGTCGCAATGGTTCCTCAGCCCGAAATGGATCGCCGACGCGGGTGACGGCGACGGAACCGGGGGCGGGTATGCGGGGCAACGGGTGAAGTCCCATTTCGTGTCCCTTCGGACACGACTTCGCTTCCGGTGAACCCAGGTACCCGTCCCAGTTACCCTAGCGAGGTTTAGCGAAGATGGATAGTCGCTCTCACCTCTGCTGATGAAACGACGATGACGGCGTTCGAGGGAGCAGACGAAGCATGGGAATGCTCCCTTGCCACCAGTGTATTGATTTGATGTGGCCGGAGGCAGAGCGAGAAAAGCATCGCCGTTCGGGCAGCGAGCGGAAAACCTTGCTTGAGGGCAAAACAAGTTGAATCTAGGTATGGGTGCTTGCATGGGTTGACCTTCGATCATGTTTTTTCCGGAGCGGCACAGACAACGAGAAGAGATTTTGTGCTGAAGAATATCTTCTTATGGGTCTTTAACTATGCGTGTTTTGGTTTATTTCGGGTGCATGGGCTAAAGAAGTGTACGACCGACATGGTATTACGCGTTTATCTGTCTGATGAAGAACGGGAGAGGTGAGGAGCGTATATGCTCAGGGCTATACCGTAGAGGAGAGGAAAGGAGGCATAGGCCTTCATGCTTACTTGTCGATTGAATATTTGAGCGTATCGTATAGCAGACAATAGATAATGGGGGCGACTCGCGTTCCGAATTCTGTGGGGGCGCACCTTGAGCATGAACCCCAAGTTGTTAACATGTATGTATGTATGCGTATTCAATACCCATCTGATGGGTCGATGCAAGCGGCATGTCTATGGATAGATAGTGTTAGGCGGTACTGAAACTCGCATGCCCACTTCGAGCACAAGAAATTCGATGGGACATTCTGCCTTTGAGAGCTGGCGGGAGGGATTGAAGATACCCCAGATCGCAAGGATGATACTTCGGTCTGTTCTAGCTTGTGTACTTTCACGACCGTGGAGCTTCACCGCATTTCGATAATGTTGTGGTTCGATTGTCCTTTCAATGATTGTTGGTAACCACTTCCGCTCAACCTATGGATTGAAACGGGTCTCCGTCTAAGTCGCAGTGGGGATCTAGGCTACAAGTCTTCGAGGTGCTAGCAATGCACGGGAAGTCTTTTTCGATGGCACCGCGACTAGTCGGCGCACAGCCGGTAGACGGCAAAAGTATATGCACATAGAGAGGAAAGTAGCTGATGATAATGATGGAGTTCCGTCGTGTTTCTAGTAGGCGTCATTGCCTGAACACGCGTTCGGTGGGAACGTTACCGATGGCGTTGATAATAGAGGTTAGCGTCAGTTGAACAAGTTGAGGTACAGACAGTATTTCGACAATACATTTCGTGCATCAGTCCAGCAGCAATGTGTAGAAAAGGGTTAAATTTGATTTTGAACTGCAGCGTTGAGAGTACGCCGTCTGCATCATGTCATGCAGCGGGAGACGCACGGGGCTCTGAGTGTTTTGTTCAAGCCCCCTAGAGCAACGGCAACTATTGGGTGCGAAAGTGGTTATTATTCTCTCGCTGCGGAAAACTGATGGATGGGAGGCTATGTCCTATGAAGGGCGTCGACTGTTGATGCCGTTGAGCAACACTTTCTTCCGAGGTTGTGAATCGACGTTTACGGAGACTTTTTCACTTGATGCTGTAGTATGTTCTGGCGTTTTTTGTTTTTTCTTTGTCCGGGTACATGCTCAGTATAGTTTCATCGATTCCTGATTCTTGTTCGTCTGAAGCTGCAACCAACAAAATTTGTACTTACTTCCATCAGCGTTGGGTACACCAATAAGTCCAGCTGCGCTTGCTATCGAGGTTCTTCCACCCTAAGAACGAGACGTTGACACAGAAATGTGAGTCTTGAGTGGTTATTCGGCGTGCAAGGTGTCGGAGAGGAGATAGAGACAGGTTGAGCGAGGAGCACGTCAAGGAACCGTTTGACAGCGCTGCCTTGTTTACCATTCAAAGGGAACGCTCAACAGATATTGGCTCCTCTGCAAAACCCAGCTGGCTTTTTACATTTTTTCAGGTGTTCTCGCGGCGTGGCACGTGCATGCTCATACGCGGAAAGGACTTCAAAGGATTCCTCCGGTTGCTCACATGATGCCGTTGCAGGCAAATGCTCCGAAAGTGCAGGTGGCAGGTTGTCCATTTTCGTTGTGGCACCACAGTTCTCAACGTAGCGTACGTAGTTCGGCGGCTAATGTTGAAACAAAGCCTCATCCCCAATACACCGGTCGCAGGTGTGCCGGGGCCCGACGCCAACGCGTTGAACGGATACCGCTCGCTGGGCTCACAAAGCATTCAATAATTCAACGAAACTTTGCTTCTGCCCTGGCCTGGTCCACTACGAACACCAATCTCGCAACGACAACGCATCGCCAGACGAATAGGGACGACGTTGATCGGGTATTTTGCAGCATCGAAAAAATACAGAGTTCCCAAAAAGAAGGTCGTCGTTCGCGACGAGCAGAAGCCTTTCTCGTGGAAGTTATCGAGGTCCGACATCGTGGGTATCACCGAGAGAGGCCCACGGCGAAATTGTGTTTCTGTGAGTGTTCACGGGTCGCCTAACAACAAAGAAAAGAAGGCCAACGACCTCTGGAGGTATTCGCCCCGAGGTGATATTTCAGCAAGCGCGACCAACTCCCAGCCCATCGCCCGACCCCGAGAAACGTGTGCCTCCTGAAAAATGCGAGGAAATTGTCCTGAATAGGCCCTCTCAATGGCCGACGTCTTAGTACGCAGCTACAGCCGTACCTTTTGCGAACATCGCGTGGAGCGAAATTAAGATTGCGTGGAGCTTATATGGCACGTTCGCAAAGGAACGTACCGGGGCGGAGAAAGAGAACAGAAAGTATCACACCAGGGCAAAAGGCCGCCGGGGCGAAAAAGCCCCGGGGCCGTTATTTTTGTTGAAAAACATCAACGTCAAAATACTTCGACTTCCAGCTCCGAATAACTGAAACCATTTGCAGAAAGAGAGAGAGAGAGAGAGAGAGAGAGAGAGAGAGAGAGAGAGAGAGAGAGAGAGAGTACGGCAGACGTTTCTTTCCGGAAATACTGGGGTTCGTTCCGACTGCATAGTATAGACAACACTGTGAATGTATGCGGCTCGACAGAAAGGGCAAACGCCAGTCGATGGCGGGCCTTTAAAGTCGTTTTTCCTGCATTTTTTCAGCCTTGTACATAATGTCTTCTACTACACGAGTGCGTCAAACGACTCCTCTTGAAACTCTGCAGTTTTTATGTCCGGACGTAAAAATGCGTTGGATCTTAGAGGAACATCATGTTCGTTCTAGAGCTCCTCCTGTGTTTTTCAAACAACAAGCACATCCACCAGCACACACCTGTACCTCGTGGTTTCCTAGGTTCGGGCGAGGGTGGTATGTGTGGCGCTACGAGTGTGGATGTGTTGCTGATATGTTTTACTCGTCTACAGCAGTAGTAGTAGTGTTGTTGTAGCGTTCGTTGTAGCTGTTGACACAATGACTGCTGCTGGATCTTGGGAACGATTTTCAAATTGTTGGGAACCACGATATCCTCGATATCTGGACTTCGGCAGGGACTGCAATACCCCTCCCTTTTGCTGTCCTCTGCTCTTTGCAGCAGTGGCTTCCTACGTTCGGGCGAGTGTATGTGTGGTGCTGCGAAAGAACACATATGTATGTATGTATGTACTGTATGCACACACGCGTTCATTGACATGTGCATACGTTGAGAGATTCATTCATGATTTGGCATTGATTGGCCCCATTCCCATTCCCGAGACCTTGATATTACCCGCTGTCACTGAAGTCTCTTCATTGGTCAGCCGGTTAGCGCGGGTGCTAATAACCTAGACACACCTACCTATGCACTTGCCAATACACGGCGCGAAGGGCTGCAGGGCGGCAACTCCACGACTTGCCACTACACCAGCATTTGCAAATGATCAATCAATGATCAGTGAGAACGCCTGAAGACTCAAAAGGGTTAATCCTCTAGACTGCTCTTGGCTAGAGTGGAGTAGGACTAAACACAACTTTTTGTTTGGTGTTACTTTTGGTGTAGTAGTGGTCACGGCAGAGGTTGTGCCAGGATGCAATTCGATATCAATCGAAAGCATATTTCGGCGTGAACCCGAAATAATTGGATGTTTTTTACTGGACGGACCAAAGTAAGTCCACAATACTGCAGCAAATAGGTATGAGGACGTCTGTCACTCTCCTTACATAATTCAAATGAGTTTACTTTACCTCGTTCTTTTTCTACCAGTGGGATCGCCACCCCGAAACAAACGCACATGATTGTCCAAAAATCCGTTCGGTATGTTAACTAGTCTGCGCCACATATATATCGGGCGCGAATATTTGCAATCCATGGATTATAAAAGAGAACCACAGTCCAAACATCCGGACGGATCGAAACCCCGGGAAACCGCCCGGAGTGTCCCCGAAGAGGTTCTCCTCTCTCCCTCTCAAATTCAATATTATCTCGGAGCCTGGATCTAACGCCCGTTGTCTTCGGAAGCAGAGCTCTCGTCTGCAGCAACAGCCTCAACAGTCCATACTGCCATACTGGCACATATTTCACGCCAAGGCCACCCTTCGCACCCGGGATGCCCAGGAGACGCTAGGCCTCAGAGGAACAGGAGGACACGACGACACACAACGCCCCGTACTTAGAGGAGTGCTCGTCTCTCTCTGTGTGTGTGTCTATCCGCGTGTGGTGCTGCTGTTGTTGTGCGTTTCTGCTGCTGCAAGCAATTGTTGCTGTAGATTTTGTGAACTACATACAGCAGTATTCTTTTTTTGGTAGATATAACCTGCTGCACGGTGCTGCCGTGATGGATGTCAGTCATCATGGGGCCGTCAAAATCTGTAGGCATCGTTTAGTTCGCACACCGCAGGCCCGCTCAACAAACTCGAGACGCGGCT